AAAAAAAAAAATGCATTAAGACGAGATCACATTAGCAAATGTACAGTCTGAGTGATTGTCTGTCCGTAATTTAATCCAATCCGCTTTCATGCAGGTTGTTGTCTAATCTTTACTTATACAGTCAATTTTGCAATGCAAAAAGTAATCACTCATATAAAACATTCACCAAAAATGCCAAAATCATTGAGACATCTACGATTTCATAGCTATACTCCAAACGCCAGTTGCAGGCTCTTTGATCCTGGGTTGCACGTTTCTAGTTAGTACTCGTCGTCTGTTTGATGTATGTATGCCACAACTTTCGTTATTGATGAAAAATTAAAAAATGATTTTCCGTGAACCTAAAAATCACTTAGCTTGTAGAGAGGTTCAGTTTTTGGTCTTCTATATGTTTTATTAAAATTTACACTTCCATTTTTACACTTTCTGTTATGGTAGATATCCGCTGTGGGGATAAGCTTTGCAGGAAGCAAAAATGCATGAATTTTCAAGTACGAAAGAAATGTTTTGATAACTGTGGCTGAGTACCGGAATTACAGGATGAATGGTTCTGGCGGATACAAAAGGATGGTGCACTGAGTCAAAGACCGCACCAAATTGCTACACTGTGGAATGAAGTGACTTGGCCAATTGATGCGGCTGTGGAAAGTGATGACAAAATTTATTTCTTTGTTGGTACATTATTGAAGAAAATTTCATTTTTGGTTAACAGTAGAGCTCAATAAAAAGCCAGTTTTAACTTGAGATATTTCGGGCACTGGTCATGAAATTTGGTATTTTAGCCCTGTTTTTTAATTCTTTGTGTTACAGGCAAGTATTTTTACACTTTTGATGGTCAGCGACTAATAGCAAAGAAACCACTTACCGAGCTTGGCCTTCCTGCAACCGTAGAACGAATCCGGCTTGTTTACGCGTGGAATTACTGGACCGAGAAGCCGGTGTATATCTGGACAAAGAAGGAGTTCTGGAGAGTTGATAAGGTACCAAGCATAATCAATTTCAGTCATTCACTTATTCTGGTAACTTCAGAATGTGTGGAGGAATAAAAAGCTGGAAGCGAGTCCAAATTCGTTTCTTTAAACATGACTAGGGCAGTTTTCACCAAAACATCTAGTGTGTGTTAGCCTGTGAGGCAGCGCATTTCTTTTTATGCGTTTTTTGCAGCAATGCAATGTGAAAAACGCATATTGACGAGAGGTTGTCTGTGTG